TGGCTTGTTAACTCAATTGGTAGAGCGCTGCACTAATATCGGAGAGGTCCGTGGTTCGAGTCCCGTACAGGCCTGATTTTTTTCAGGTCTGATTTTCGCTATTGCATAAATAGCGCTATCTACTGCGAGGATCGTACATCATACATATCTAATACCGAAGTTCGAAATATATGAAGTTCATATATTCATTGTATCTCATTGTTTTCATCGTGGCTAAACTGGGAAACATATGTTTCGGACGCAAAATTTGTGTCCGGGAAACAAAAATGTTTTTGTCTGCAGGCAAAAACAATTTTTGTGTCCGGGAAACAAAACTGTTTTCGTCTGCAGGCAAAAACAATTTTTGTTTCCGAGCAGGAAAATTTCTTTCCGCAACATATGTTTCCCGCGCGGCTAAACTGAGAAACATTTGCCTCCGCAGCAATGTTTCCGCAATAAAGTTTCCTAGTTTAGCCAGGCCTTAAGGATTGGCAGCTAATTTTCTCGGCCTCTCTATTGGTGACTGATTTTTCTACCCCTTGCGGTTAGCGACTGTTTTCTTTTCCCGCGCTTGGGACTGGTGACTGCTTTTTTTTCCACTTTTATGATCATTGACAGTTTTACTTTTGGGGTTTTTTTTTTTGCTCGCTTTGCGACGGAATAACACTAACCTTTAAGTCTGTTATAGTCATCTCCAGCTCTTTCCTTGTCTTCAGTTCGTTTGCTTCGCGCAGTTTGTCAAGTTTCTCCCTTGCAGCAGCCTACGACAAAACATAAACAAGGAGGTTAAAAAATTACTGTTGATAACAAAACCGATCCACAACAAGTGAGGACAAAGTGAAAGTAGACTTATCTCCAACWACTACAAATAAAATGCAACAAAAAATTCATACAACCACTCAAAAAGGGCGCCAGGTATTTATTGATTTCAGCAGTTTCATCAACGGTCTCGATTGAGTGTCGTAAAGGAAAATACCTGGGAGAGCCGATGAGGACTCAAATTAAAAACAACCAAACCGCCTTAAGGGCGGAAAAAAACGGGCGACCAACTCGCGATTAGTGCTAGTTTTGCATCTGATTGGTTGAGAGCGGCGCACGCTTTCTGGATCAATCACAAAGCAAAGCAAAAGCAATCCCAGGGGAATGCACACAACACACACACACACACACGCACGCACGCACGCATACACACACACACACACTGATAAAAATACCTCACCTGTTCTTCTAAATGAGCGTTGACTTCCTCTAATTTACGATTTAACTCAAAGCGGGACTGTTGAAGAGAAGAACCTCATGTTTTAACACAAGAACAGAAAAAACTATGGCCACCATAACAAAATCATTACATATAGGTGCGTCCATATTTTTCGACTTATTCGGTACTTACACGAACGAGAATCTTACAACTAAAACAATTGGTACCACAACAGCCAATCAGAGACAAGACAAATATGCACAGGAGTCAATCAAAATTCAAAGCAAAGATAAGTAAACCGCTCCAAGTGCGGCAAAACGCCGGTGGCGAAGTCGAGATTAATTTCAGTTTTACATGATTTTATTGGTTAAAAATGTAAAAACTGCCCTCTCTATATTTATGTTTAGGATAGAATACAAGACAAATTAAAGTAACCTTAGCCTCTAGCTCCTGCTTGTATGCCTCCAGCTGGCCTTTCTCCACAAAATTACTTTCATAGAACGCCTATGATGACCAAAAAAACAAAGACGCATCAACACATCACTCACCTTGACAATGAATAAAAAATTTTGCCACTCAAAACCTATGATATCAAAAAAATCTCACCTTTAACCTTCCAACTTCTTCCTCAAGTTGTCTATTGGTCAGTTGTAGACGTTCTTGGTCAAAGAGAAGACGCTAAATACAACACAAAGACACAAAGCACTCAAAAAACGGCTTATGAAAAAAACACTCTTAAGATTAATCGAAACAAAAGTTTAATCAAAAGAACTTCCATTCGGGACAAAGTCTTCTTGAAATGATATTTGTCATTTAGTTACAAGACAACTCATCCACAGGTAGTAAAAACACTCGAATCGTAATTATTCTAAAAGTCACCTTTTCCTGAGCTTTCGCTGCCGATAGTTCTGTTAAAACAATAAACAAAACAGCGTTGGGGATTGCACCTTAAGATGGAACATCTCCATTCAATTTTTTTTTTTAATTTTTAAACGTCATTCGATTGAACGCCAAGAGCCATTAAAGTGTATATGACACAATTTTTTTAAAAGTATTTTCCTTTCATGATATATGTAATAAATTAAAAATGTTTCCATAATGCGAAAAAAAATTATTTGGATGATTTTTTGCGGCTGAACTACCGCCAATTTCTATATAAAAGTGTCCCGGGAAACTGGGGACGATAATTGCGCTTGTCACGTCACAGCGTTTGATAACATTGCTGTCGCGCGCAGGCAACCTAATTTCTCTTGCTCGGGGCTTCGAATGTGCGATTCGAACACTAATTTTCGATCCGTACTGTTTAATTTGGTGATGTCTAGCGATTCGGAAAGTAGTGAGACTTTGGGTTCTTCAGAAAGTATGGATGAAAGCGAAGATGGTTTGTTTATCAAACACAGTGACGTC